CACACCACAATCACCAACCAATTATATTTATTTTCACTTCTCTCCATTTTCTTTCTTCTCCAAGAACCAAAATCCAAACACCGACCAAACCAACCCTAAAGCCAAACCCTTCGTTCCCAATTTTCTCTTCTCCTCGCTCCTCGCTCCGATCTCCGATCTCGACTGTTAACAGCGAAATTCGCCTTGTTCCTTCGCCGATCGAGCTGAGAAGAGAGAAAAAAGTGTGAATCGTTGTTGAGATTTCGACAAATTTAGCTGCATGAGCTGGTTTGGAAAACTGCGTTTATTCTCCAACCTCAATTCGTTTAACTTCGTTACTTCTTTGTTGATTTTTATTCTTCATTTTTCACCTCAATCCAATTCGAATTGTAATAGTAATAGTAATTGTAATCTAATTAGTAATTTTGATAATTCTTCAAACTATGGAGTCGCGAATTAAGATGAATCCCAATTCACGCAAAGGTTTATTTTCTCTCTCTATAAATTTTGTTTTTATTTCTTATATCAATGTAGTAATCATCATATATTGCTTAGATTATAGATCTGGTGTTAGGATTGGTGTAATTCAGATATAATTTTATGCTTTATACTCCTAATTGCTTAAAATTTGAATTTTTATGATAATTGTAGTTTTTTTATTGTTTAAAAACGAGAGTAGATTTGGTAACTGAAATAACTTATCGGGTTGTTGTTATCATTTGTTAAATAATGAATGCAAAGTGTTGTATTGGTGGTGTTTCTAGTAGAGACGTGTCATGTTTTTGTGTCTAATAAAAACTTGTCTTTTGAACAAGTTCTACTTCTGTCTATGTGCATGTGTTTGTTTTTGACTTTTTTTGTGTTGGTGTTCGGTCACTGTAGGTTTTTTTTATGCGAATTTTGACCAGCAGTCTGTGAGGTCGCCTTCTGTTATTGTTATAGGCGGTGGCATGGCCGGGATTGCTGCTGCTCGTGCACTTCATGATGCCTCTTTTCAGGTATTCAAACAAATAATGTAGTTTGTTAAGAGTTTGCATGCCACACTAATATACAATGTTTGTTTTCTGAGTCTGGCTCTGGCTGCTCATGTGACTACAATTATTTGTGTCTTTGATTTGCTTTCATTGTCTCTTGATATGGCACCTTTAACTGTTTCTCTCTATTGAAAGATAAAATTGTAAAAGCTATACTAATTGTTAACAAATTCAATAACACAACTACCTTTCTTAATTCCCTTGATTTACTTTAGTGAGGAATTAATATCTACTAATTTATGATTTTAGTAAAAAGAGCCAGCTAATTTCTTTTAATAAATCAGTTTTTCAATTTTTTTATGATGTTTAGAACTAATTGTTCTGTACATCTAACTTTATCTACTAATTGCAATGGTTTTGTTTTGGCTCAATTCATAGCTCATCTGTATTCTGTACGTAAAAAAAAGTTTTATAAAAGCATTTTATGGTTCCTGGTGAGCTATCCTGGGTTAGACAAACTTTACTTGGTTGCTTTGTTGGTTTAAAATTGGATTTGTATTATACTTTAGTCAAACCAAACCACACATTTGGGACCTATTGTCTTTTCCGTATGGTGACAGATAAACAAACATACTGTTTTATTTTGCCTCGTCTTCCCCCTTGAACATACATACTTTTGTAGCTAATCTGCTCTTTATTTGCATTGAGAAGAATTGTGCTGAAGTTTACAAAAAATTTTGTTCAGGTTGTTCTTTTAGAATCCCGGGATAGAGTTGGTGGCAGGATTCACACTGATTACTCATTTGGTTTTCCTGTTGACCTTGGTGCATCATGGTAAATTTATACTCTTTTTTTTCTTTTCATGTTGACAGAACACAACAATTTTGGTTTAGCTTTGCAACTGACTGACTATGATTCAGGTTGCATGGAGTTTGTAATGAGAATCCTTTGGCTCCGTTGATTGGGAGGCTGGGACTACCTCTATACCGTACTTGTGAGGATAACTCTGTCCTTTATGATCATGATTTGGAAAGGTAAGTGCATTGCTTTTGTTGTTATATGGTAGTAGTTTTGTGCTTTTGTAATGAATTGAAGATTATATTGTATGCTTCTAAATTTTCATTATTGGGTATGTAGTTCTGTGCTTTTGTAATTAATTGAAGATTATATTGCATGCTTAAAAATTTTCATCATTGAGTATGTGATTTCTTAACTGAATTTCATAATTTTATTACAGCTATGCACTCTTTGATATGGATGGAAAGCAAGTTGCACAAGAGTTGGTTAAAGACGTTGGGAAAATCTTTGAAACGATTTTGCAAGAGGTATGTCATTTGTTATTTCTAGTTCCACAATTGTTGTTTTTATAGAATTCAAATTTTCAGGAATAAAATATTTTCTAATTGAATGCACAGATGCTTGATTCAACTAACTCTTTACTATGAACTTCTCATCTAACAATTGGCATTTTGTTAATGCAGACGGATAATGTAAGACAGGAATACAGCGAAGATATGTCCATTTTACGGGCACTTTCAATTGTTTTTGAAAGAAAGCCAGAACTCAGGTCATTATTGGCATTAAATTTTAATTCTTTCACCACCACTCTTTATTGAAGCTCATCTTGTGTATGTATAATTTGATTTTCACTGTTGGATGCAGGTTGGAGGGCCTTTCACACAAGGTGCTTCAATGGTATTTGTGCCGAATGGAGGGCTGGTTTGCCGCAGATTCTGATTCCATATCATTGAAATGTTGGGACCAGGTAATCGGAAGAAACCAAGTTCATTGTGTTTTGGTTCTATTATTTGTATCACCCATTTCAAGTTTCAGTCATTGAAATTTGAATTGAATGGCATAAATCATTTATAGATTCATGCATGGTTTTTCCATATCAGCTCTTTGTCTTTGTTGATTTTTTGTGCTAGACACATTATTGAAAGACACAATTATTGAGTAGCAAGTTGTGAATTTTAGGTTAAATGTTAATGATATGCCATTTATACTGGCTTCTATTAATGATATAAGGATGCTAGATGTAAGGGATATATAAATGAGACTAATAAGTGACTCCATATGGTTACACTACTCACAATATGCCGTACATAACTTGTTAATTACTATGTGCATTAACATTTTTATCTATACCTGCTTACAGGAAGAATTGCTCCCTGGTGGTCATGGTCTTATGGTCAGGGGTTACTTGCCCGTTATACATACCCTAGCAAAGGGTCTGGACATTCGATTGGGACACAGGTAGATATTAGTTTGAAGTTTTTGTTTTGGAAGCCTTTGTCCTGTTTTGTTGGTTAGCTAAAGATAGATAGTACCTATTTTCAGGGTTACAAAGATAGATAGGCGATTTAATGGAGTAAAGGTGACTGTTGAAAATGGGAAAACATTTGTTGCTGATGCTGCTATCATTGCGGTGCCCCTTGGAGTGCTGAAAGCAGACGTCATAAAATTTGAGCCAAAGCTTCCAGAATGGAAAGAAGCTGCCATTGCTGATATAGGAGTTGGAGTCGAGAATAAAATAATTTTACACTTCAAAAATGTATTTTGGCCCAATGTTGAGTTCCTAGGAGTTGTTGCCGATACATCTTATGGATGCAGCTACTTTCTTAATCTTCACAAAGCTGCTGATCACCCTGTTCTTGTTTACATGCCTGCTGGGCGGCTGGCCAAAGACATTGAGAAAATGTCTGATGAAGCAGCTGCTGACTTTGCTTTCACGCAACTCAAGAAGATCCTTCCAGACGCTTCTCCACCGGTAACTATAATAGTTTTAATTATTTATTTAAGTATTGTTTTACTATGGAATGAAAGTTAAGAGGTTCAAAGTGGATTTGGTTCCTCTAAAGCAAGGGGTGTGCTTTAGAAGACAATGGAATCGGAACAATTGATTAGAAAAATCATTACTAGCATTTTACTTTCTAATGTGTACCCTTTAGTTTAGAAGAGCAAATTCTCTAGAACCATGTTTTGTAGGCAACACAATCCTATAAATTTAATCTATTTAGTTTCCTGTGCCTTCAGTCTTTGATGATAGTTGTTATACGGCTGAATTGAGTGTTTTTGTTTCCTTTATGCAGATTCAGTATCTCGTGTCTCGGTGGGGTACAGATATTAATTCACTAGGTTCCTATAGTTATGACGCAGTTGGGAAACCGCATGGTCTGTACGAGAGGTTGCGGGTTCCTGTAGATAACTTATTCTTTGCAGGGGAAGCAACAAGTGTATTATATACAGGGTCCGTTCATGGTGCATTCTCTACTGGAACAATGGCTGCCGAGGACTGCAGAATGCGTGTCCTAGAAAGATACGGCGAGTTAGACATATTCCAGCCAGTGTTAGATGAGGGTTCAGCCATACCACTTCTGATCTCTCGTTTTTGATCATTTGGATGCCTTATACTGCCCCCTTACTAGTGTCTTTCCTCAATGTGTTTTGAATAATAGACTGATCAATCTCTAGGGGTTGAATAATATCACGAGGTATTTGGAAAGACCATTTTTTTGAATAATAATTTGGAAAGAACATTTAGTTATATATTCCACCTATACAATTGTTACTTTGGTGTTTTCTCTATTAATCTTAATCGTTTTTAGCCGTGGAACTTGAAATTTTGTTTTTCTGGAGAGCATGTATGTATTGTACTCTTTCTAATGCAATTCTTTTATAGGATCTTGCTTACAATTTCTTACAAGGGCATTCTCTAAGAAGAATTCTTAATGATGACATTATTCTTATAAAAAACATTTTAATATTCAATGAACTAAATGAAATGATATTGATAGCAATCCAAATTAAGAGATAAGGGAAAATAGTATTATTGATTGAAGTTGAAACTGTTACAGAAGAAGACCCCTGTAATCCCAGACCTAATGCTCTTTAACTCTTCAACTTTCCTCCCATGTATCCCAAATCCTAACAAATCCTATAAAGAACAAACCAAACATATCCTTGTAGTCCAAAACCAAGACTAATCTGCTCCTAAAAGTGTTCTTCCATGCCTGGCAGAGAAAAGTTACCGCAAGAGAGATGTCTCTATATGTTGGCAACCAGTTGATCCAAGGTCTCGTCTTCAACCGACCTCTTGACGCGAACAACAGCTTTTTCAACCTACAAACAACATCATGATCAATTCACTCCTTCCCAAGCGACAAACAATTAATGTAGAACATGAAATAGATAAGACCTTGTTTAGATTACCTCTGCAGTCCAATTTGTTCTTGCAGTCAGAATTATTAGTGTGACAGTCTGTATAAAAACTCCAAGGATCATTCCCCACCAGATTCCCTACAAAACTCACAATTGCCATAACTCCATAACTATGTACAAATTTCAGAACTATATAATCAATGAGAGAAATGCTTTAATCTTACAACTACTCCTAATGAAGTTTTAAAGCCAAGAACACATCCAAGAGTAAGACCAATAACATAGTAACAAGCCAAGTTTACATAAGCCACTATAGCTTGCCATCCACTTCCAATTGCAACACCTGAAAATTTCCAAGAAACAGCAAACAAAAAGGAGAAATCAGATTCACAATTATCGAAAAACCAAAACCAAAACCGAAACTTGTGCTTGTGCTTATAACTTTGTTACCAGACAGTATAGGTTGAATGCCATTTAGTAGGACAGAAATGCAAAGCAATGAAGTCAAATCAGATACTTCATCAATGACTTCAGCATCAGAAGTGAAAAGCTTGCTCAAACCAACCCGGAATATCAAAATAATCGCGGAAAGAACTATGCTAATGAGGATGCTATTTCCATTCACTACATAGACAGAAAATTTTGCTACTCTTGGATGAGCCGCTCCTAGTTCATTGCTTATTCGCACGCTGCAATCATAAAACCTACTTTAACATGTTTGCGTGGAAATTGTTTAAACGAAAAACGTTGTTTTCGGTCGATCGTCACTAACCTGGCTGCTGCACCTAGACCCAACATAACTTGTATATCCCAGTTCAAGTAATTCATGCTGAAAATGAAAGTATCATGGTTAGATAGATAACAAATGTTGGCAAATAATAAGGAACATTATTCTAAGAGAATTTGTTAACATACCAAATGGAAATAGAATCCAATGCCACTGTTGGATTAGAAAGCAGCCCTGATATGAGTACTAGTCCTTGACTGTACCATATCTCCAAGCTACAATAACATACATTTCATATTATTAAAAATATACTGCGATAAACACAATAGGATCGATCACACATCTTAAACATGCTCAGAGCTACGTCTAGTGAAATTCAAGTGAAAGAAAGGATGTAATCATACCATAACATGACAGCAGAAGCAACTGTTAGCTTGAAGTAAGGCCAAATTCCTACGAAAGCTCTCATAGTGAAACCTGTCCAAGTTTCTTTGCATTTCGGGCTAAGAACAATGTACAATCCATTTATCAAAACAAGCACCCACCAAGAAAAGCTAAGAGTAAGAGACGCCCCAAGAAGTCCATAGTCTAAAACGTAAACAACTAGCCAGCTAAGAAGCACGTGAAGAACGAATACTCCAACCGCCATATACGCCAGAGGGTTAACAATGTTCTGAGCTTGTAGAAACCTCTGCATTGGACAGCTCAACGCAAATGCGTAAAGTTGAGGAATAAGTCCGCGAGCGAAAACCTGGCCTTGCAAGGCTATGCTTTCTACCTGTCCTATGAGTATCAGAAAATCGCCTGAGAACCAATAGAGAAACGTGAGAATCACCGCTGCTCCTAAGTGTAAAATGATCGCTCTTTGCAATGTGATGCACATTGCTGCATATTTCTTCGCTCCGTAAGCTTGTCCACACACAGTTTGCACCGCACTCGCCATTCCCAACTATTTAACCAAAACAACAAATATCAATATATCAAAAAATCATAGTTAGATGACAAAACACTTATTATAAGAGGATCATATTCATATTCGTATTCGTACCATGATTCCATACGCAAGACCTTGAATTCCGACGTTAGCAATAGATGCACCAGCAAGCTCTAGCGAACCCAAATGTCCACTAAAAACCAAAGTAGCAAAGCTTAGCATATAGTTGAAAAGGTAAACAACAATAGAAGCACCAGAAAGGATCCATAGGAGCCTTGACTCCCAAGCAACAATTTTAAGCCACCATCTCAAGGCAATAGGCCTATGTTCCAAGAATTCTTCAATGGCATCTGATGACAAATCTGCAACGTTTGAATGTGACTCAAGCCCCAACAGCAATGGTTGGTGTTCCCTAGAGCTCATGGTTATGTGCCTTACAACTTCTCTTTCTTTTTAAGGTTTCTTCAATCAAAATATTTATAATCACAACACAACTAGTTCACTCACTGCATGGAAAGGAGGCATCAACATTTACTATAGCTACCCTTCAACATTTTGTTGTTGGCAATGTGAAAAAGCATTGATTTTTATTGTTGGTATTCGATTACTACCTAACCCTTTTTCTAGCAATCATGATTTCTAACAAGACAAGTGCACTTGAACTCAAAAGTTGGGACACTTGATTCTCTCACACAAACCTTTTTGGCCTCTCTAATAGAATCTAACTTGTTGAAAATGACTAGTACGACCTTTAGATATGAATAAGACTTTTAGTTCGGTCATTGTTCTTATGACACACATTTAAGAATGTTGGAATCTATTATGAACAATTGTATTATGTATAGGCATTATTGTTGTTAAAATTTAAATGAGTTGTGTTTTGTTAAATGATTCAGCATGTGTTCTAGAATAAAACACTATGTTTATTGATGTATAAATGAATGAAAATAATATTTAATAGTAATACTCCTTTGATTTTGAAAGTATTATGTAGGTAGGCTTGAGACCGTTAAATAGCACCAAAGTCGTGATAAATTAAGTTGAAGAAAATTATGTAAAAAAGTTGGTTGAAGTCTATCAAAATATAAGCAACTAGAGTTATCTTAACCACAAATAAAATAAAATAGAGTTATAGACAAATGGATTTCAAGAAATTATGAAAATAAATGTTACTGTTTTTTTATTATAAATTGTTTTTATAATAATTTGTATATTTTTACCGTTGTATAAAAAAATATAAGAGATATCACAAAATTATTATTTATTAATAATATGAAAAAATTATTTAAAAAAAGAGAATAATAATACTTAAATATATAAAATATTAATGATTTATTTAGTATAGTAAAATAACTTATAATTTGATATAATTTTTTATTCAAAAATAATATTGTTTTGAACTTGCACGGAGTTTGGGTGGTCCGATCTAAAAGGCACGTACGTACACTAAATTGTTGAAAATTGGGTGGTCTCAGAATCAAGAAGCTAACATCCAATCTTTACCCTTGGATGATGAATGCACACCATCAAATTTAATCAAAGAATTCTCACATTCTACGCCGGATGATTTGGGGTGGTTTTACTCGTCTTTCATATATAAAGATCTGCACGCATCAAGATTTGTATATTCTATTCATTCTCACATTTTAGTTACTTCTCATTTTCTCACTGATTTGGACGTTGGAGTGTTATTCTTGCAGGTCCATCCCACCCTGTCACATTAGAAGTACACTCTATTGCATATGAACTACATCTCACTCAGTCATAAACTATTTTTTATTCCTGAACATAACAATGACGTCGTCTGTGGGAATATGACATCTGACTCCTGCAAAATTTCATGAGAAATCACCGTTTCTTCACCCATATTTAGAAAACATTTGATTTATTCCCCGTACAGATCATCGATCTCTTTTCTACACAAACCACTGATCAAGCTCGTGAAATGATGGCAACATCAAAAGCTACTCAATCAGTCATTCAATGCAACTCCGCTGCTACGGTCGCTACAATAGTTAATATTCTCGATCTCACAGAAGAGACCCTGCTTCTTCCAATGGTCGAAGACAATCATATCCTGGTGACTTCTCCTTCCTCTCCTACACCATAAAATCCAGTCCTTCCGATGATCGACCAAAGCACATTCCAAACCCTCATGATCTTCTAGTCTTTTCAACAACCACTCCAAGGCTAGACCTCGAAACAACCTCCACCGTAACTCTTGATTTTGTAGAAGAGATGCTTTAGAGCCTCCAATGATTTCATGTTAATCTAGGTATTTAAGGGGCTAGCGATCTGCTTAACATTGTCTATAAGTCGGTGCAACAACAAAATTCACACTTGTTAGTTGTAAGATTACTTTGAATCAGAGACAATTTATAGTATGTCTCTCCAAGGGACCATTCTGTAAGCAAGGCAACCTCACATGAAGATTAAGGAGTTGGACTAGAACTAGTCCTTGTTGACACCTTCTCCCCCGTGCAGGGAGATCCCTAGATCCCAAGATCGTACCCTGTGCCAATAACACCATATCCTAACACACGAGTATGGGGGAAGAGGAGACAGTCATAGTCCACCATAGATCCGTCTTCCCACCACTAATCTTCATGTTACTCTCAAAGAGAGGAGAGGCACATCGTCGAAGCACAAACTTCTTAGAGGAAGAATGGGTCGTTCTCAAGACACATCCTTGATATAAAGATCCAAAAATCCCTCGAGAAACCCCCAAATTATAAAAATATGATGGAGGTAATCCAAATGAGTACATCAAGCATGTAGACACCAGACACGACTACTACCACACCCAGGGGAAGGGGATGGGCGTGAAATGCAAATTATTCATGTTAAACCTCAAAGGAGCCGCAATAATGTGGTTCAAGGCCCTCCCAGATGAAAGCATAAACTCCTAGGAGGAACTATGTGTCTCTTTTACCAATCAATTCACTGCTCAAAAGTGATAACCACTACGATATCCATACTCAGTGGAATTCAATAGAAGAAAAAGGAAATTGTATGAGAGTACATTGACATGTTTATTAAAGTAACAGTAGAAGTGGGGGAACAAATGATGAATTAAAGTGTTGGATATTTAAAAATAGGTTCATGGCAGTATGCATATTCCACTAGAAGTTAGAGCTAGAAAAGGCCTACGATTTAAACGATCTCTTGACTAGGCTTAACCCTACATCAATTATGAAAAAGAACTCATGGCCAAAGACATAGAGAAATGTCAGGGAGCAGAAAATTAAGGAAACAACCGGTAGTTTGAGAGAAATAACAACTGTCATCGGGACATTGGAACACAGGGCTTCGAGCCAGGTTCTACTATTCTCCATTGAACACTTCATGCGAGAAAAATATATAATACTATGCAAATAACAACTTCAAGAAAGTCAAGATAAAAAACCTATTTGTTGAAGGAATCCACAAAGACTAACAAAAAAAAGTATTGTTGTTTCTATAATAGAGGTCAACATAGCGTCCCTCATAAAATCATTGGGAGAGAAGGTGGTCCTCTACCTAGAGAAAGAACCGATGCTCCTATCAAGTATGGAATAAATCATTTTAAATTTATATGTATATGAGTGGATGCGAATGAAGACATAAGTTGACCATGATACACTTTACTAAGATTCACATAGATAGATAAGTAGCAACATAGTTACTTGGTAAAATATGTTTGTTCCATATGTGTAAAATCTAGTCTATATCACTATGTAATATTTCTTACATGATAATAAATAAAACTTCCCCCCCAATTTTCTTATTAATGATCACAAAGGATACACACGACTAATGGGTGATGTCATAAACACCATAGGTGTATTTCTAAAGCAATCAAAACTCCACACTCAAAGTCACAAAGATAAAGACGACTGACCACGAAACAAAGTGGTGTTCAAAATTAACCCCCTCTTGGTAGCTAGTAACTCTAGAGCACGAGAGGTGAATCACCGCTATGTTGGCCTCGAACATATTATAAAATCATGGACATAGAAAAGGAGCAGGACATTGGTTGGTCGTGCTCCTCAAAGACGTCTAATAAAACTCCAGAGAATAACCTCAATTATCAACCAACTCCCACATAAGCGAACTTGAGAGTCTAAGCAACACACATAACATGTAGAAATAACGATAATCAAATAAATAAAGAGACATGAAATAAAGACATTAACAATTAAAATTCATTCATTTAACAAGTGTTACATCTGACAAGAGCACCCCGATAAAAAACACTACGAGTCCTACTCTTCATTAACCAAACTCCCACTCAATATCTCTTATCCATGATATATATATATATGTTCCCTTGATATTAAAACCTCACGATGGAATAGATCCACATGACTTAGTTCATTTTCAAAATAATCATGTAAAATAAAATAAATGTCTTATACTGACTTAACATACTCCTTGGATACATCAAGGTTTTCAAGGCGCATCTCCCTAAGGTCGTCTTGATCCTACTTCAAATACTTCTGAGCTTTGTTCAAAAACATATTCAAATCTTGACCAAAAAAACATCTCTAACTCCTTTACCTTCCCGCGGGAAGAATCTAATACTTGGGTTGCCTCGGCTAAGGAAGCCTCAGTTTTAGATAGTGTCGTCTAAGCAGATGTCTGGAAAACACCCTTCTTCTTTATCTCTAGATCCAACAACAACACCCTTTAATCTAATAAATGAGGATACCTGAATTACCATATATCGTTCCCCATTTATATCAATAGACCACTCGTCTTTGAGAGCTCCCTAAAAAACCGCTTTTGCTCAATAGTAAGAACACAAACACGCTCGACAAGTGCCTCTTTCTCTCTTTGAAGACGGTCAAGTAGGAAGGCATCTTCTCTTCCAGTGGCACCAAAGTATGATAAAAATATGATCAAACAGTTAAAAAACTATAATTCATGGATCTACACCCTTACACTAATAACCGTCCTTGTTTTCTTTGAAGAATGCTATGCAAACCATATGTTGTAAATTATGTACAGAAGAACTACAACAAAAACAAAAATCTCTTTAATAACTCATACAATATATGTTAGAGAAATTACGCTAATTTTTCTTTATCAAATCAATAGGCTCAATCAAGACTTCAAGCACCACACCACCTAATTTCATAATACAAATCCAAAAATTACATTTGTGGCAAATAACTCATTGGATTCCTTACTAAAAGTATTCATGACAGAAATCAAGATCTTTGTAGCCGAGGTAAAGATTCAAATCCAAGCTCAATCAATGAATTTCAAATTTTTGGAAAACTAGATGAAGAAAATTGCAACTCCATTAATTGTAAGACTTGGTGGGTCTTTTCCTAAAGCCACTAAAGTATCCATTACCACTCCAAATCTTAAGAAAAAATAGTGTTGTAAATTTTTTTCACTAATAAGAAGGAAGGAATAATATGAAGGCCCCATAATTG